AACAGAGCCCAAAACTACATGAAGCAAAAATGGACAGAACTGAAGGGAGACACAGACAATTCAACAATAATATAGAGGCTTCGATAGTTGACTTTCAGTAATGGATGAAACAACTAGGTAGAAAATCAACACGGACTTAGAAGACTTGAACAGCACTCAAACTAACTAGACCTCACGGATGTATTTAAAACATTCTACTCAACAACAAGAGAATTACATTTTTTTTTTTTTTTGAGATGAAGTCTTCACTCTGTCACCCAGGCTGGAGTGCAGTAGCACTATCTTGTCTCCCTGCAACCTCCGCCTCCCGGGTTCAAGCGATTCTCCTGCCTCAGCCTCCTGAGTAGCTGGGACTATAAGCATGCACCATCATGCCCAGCTAATTTTTGTATTTTTAGTAGAGATAGGGTTTCATTATATTGGCCAGGCTGGTCTTGAACTCCTGATCTTGTGATCCTCCTGACTTGGGCTCACAAAATGCTGGGATTACAGGTGTGAGCCACTGTGCCTGGCCTGAGAATTATATTCTTCTATAGTATATGTGAAACATTCTCCACAGTAGACTTTATGCTAGGCCATAATATAAGCCTTAATAGGTTTAAAAGGATTAAGATCAAAGTATCTTTACTTTGAAAAAAATAGGAATTTATTGAAAGAAGTATATTAATAACAGAAAGTAATTTGGGAAAGAAATAAATTAAAAATTAACAACAGAAAGAAATTAGAGCAAGTCACAAATATAAGGAAATTAAACAACAAAATCTTAAATAACCAATAGGTCAAAGAAGAAATCAGAGGAGAAATCAGAAAATACTTTAAGGTGGGTGAAAATGAAAATACGACATACCAAAATATATGGCATACACTAAAGTAGTGCTTAGAGGAAAATGTATAGCTGTAGATGCCTATATTAAAAAAGAAAAAAGATCTCCAATCAATAACATAATCTTCCACTTTAAAAAAAGTAGAAAAAGGCTGGATACGGTGGCTCACGCCTGTAATCTCTGGGAGACCGAGCTGGTTGGATCACTTGAGGCCAGCCTGACCAACATGGTGAAACCCGATCTCTACTAAAAATACAAAATTAGCTGGGCATGTAATCCCAGCTACTCGGGAGGCTGAGGCAGGAGAATCACTTGAACCCAAGAGGCAGAGGTTGCAGTGAGCCGAGATCGTGCCATTGCACTCCGGCCTGGACAACAACAGCAAAACTCCATCTCAAAAATAAAAATAATAATAATAAAATAAAAAATTGGAAAAAAGAGTAAGCTGAACCCAACATAAGCAGATAAAAGGAAATAATAAAGAAAAGAGCAGTTAAGAAATGAAATAGAGAATGGAAAGATAATAAAGAAAAATCAACAAAACTAAAAATTGGTTCTTTGAAAAATCAACAAAATTGTCAAACCTTTATAATGTCCAAGAAAAAAAAGAAAAAAGACTTAAATTTCTAAAATCAAGAGTGAAAGAGGGGACATCAGGAGAATTGCTTGAACCCAGGAGGCGGAGGTTGCAGTGAGCCGAGATTGCACCACTGCACTCCAGCCTGGGTAACAAGAGTGAAATTCCATCTCAAAAAAAAAAAAAAAAAAGTACGAAGTTTAACTCACATTTACCAGTTTTAAAACTGTAGTAAGTTTGTAAAGTTACAATAATTAGGACAGTGTGGTACTCACAATAGGATAGACATAGACATAGACAAATATCATACAATTTAAAGGCCAGAAACAAACCTTTACATTATGGTCAACAGATTTTTGACAATAGTGCCAAGAGGGAAAGAATAGTCTTCAAGTCATGGTTCTGGGACAACTGGATATCCACATGTAAAATAATAAAGCCGAACCCTTCCATCACACAATGCACAAAAATTAGCTTGGCTGGGCGCAGTAGCTCATGCCTGTAATCCCAGTACTCAGGGAGGCCAAGGTGGGTGGATCACCTGAGGTCAGGAGTTTGAGACCAGCCTGGCCAACATGGTGAAACCCCATCTGTACTAAAAATGCAAAAATTAGCCGGGCGTGGTGGTGGACACCTGTAATCTTAGCTACTCAGGAGGCTGAGGCAGGAGAATCGCTTGAACCTGGGAGGTGGAGGTTGCAATGAGCCAAGATTACGCCACTACACTCCAACCTGGCAACAAGAGTGAAATTCTGTCTCAAAAAAAAAAGAGACAGAGAGAGATCATCACAAGGGCTGGCAATGATGTAGAACACTTGGAATCCTCACACACTGATGCTGAAAATGGTAAATTATTCAGCCCCTTGGGAAAAAAGTTTACAAGTTCCTCAAAATGTTAAACACAGAGTTACCATATAACCCAGCAATTCCATGATCAAGTATTTACTCAAGAGAACTGAAACATGTACACACAAAAACTTGCCCATGAATGTTCATAACACCGTTGTTTATAATAGCCAAAAAGTGAAAACACCCTAAATGTCTTTCAACTCAAGAATAAACAAAATGTGGTCTATCCATAAAATGGAATATTATTCACCCATAAAAAAGGAATGAAGTACTGATATAGAATACAGCATGAATAACCTCAAAAACATTATGCTGAGTGAAAGAAGCCAGCCATAAAAGACCACATGTTGTGTGAACTTTGTGGTATGTAAATTACATCTCAGTGTAGCTGTTAAATTTCAGAATTTGAGGT